CTGTTCTTCCAGTAGTTTGGTGCACATCTTAAAGGAAAATAAGAATTAAAAAAAAAAATACACCAAACTGGTCTGTTTTCATTGCATTATGCAGATGAAATGACAAGTTGTCATTTAAGAAGTTAATAAACAGTCACCATTTTGCAGGTTATCCAAATGCTACTGAATAGAAAACCTTGGATCCCTAAATGATGTGTAATTAAAATTATTTAAAAAATCCTCCTTGACAGGCCAGGGCTTAGCCAAAATGTAAATGACATTAAAGAAGACAATGAATTTAATTTTATTTAATGTCCCTTTTTGCAGATCCTCATTTACATAGCATTTTTAACAAAAGCGTTGACCTTATAAATGCTGGCATTTGTACAGCTTCTGCAGAGTTGGATTTAATCATGCTTTCGCAAAGCCATAAGGGAAAAAGCTTTAAGTTCTCTGGTTGGATATGGAGTAGGAATAAAAACATTGGGACTGGTCAAATGTTTATCCTCCTTGCTTCTGAAAACAACCTGACAAGAAGATGTAAAGGTCTAGGGAATAACCCATTGCTGTTTGTAAGGCTTGGTAATAATCATACATAATCGTTTGGAAATATAGCTAATAAAAAATATAATGAGTGTTCAGCAAAATCGGCATTAGGCCCAAATTACATGATATTAATACTTGAACAGGTGCAGAAAGGCGCTTTAAATGAGGTAAATGAATAAAATGTCCCAGAGCACAACTGTGTGCACTGACAAAAAGTCAATCACATGAATAATTCAGCGGCCGGGACTGCCAGCAAAGGTCAGCGGCTCTCACCTTTGTGACGGGAAGTGAAAGGAAACGCTGCTGCTGACGAAAAAAAAACCCCTCGCCCTCCAGCCGCCGCGTTGCCACCCCGCCGAAGGTGTAAACTTGGAGTAGGGAGGAATTAAAGCGCTGCACCGGCGAGCCGGCGTAAAAAAAAAAATAATAAAATAAAATAATAGTAAAAAAAACCCCCAGCGTGAACAGCCAAGTCGTTTAGGGAAAATAATCTGAAATTACAGCCAGAGAAAGGTTAAGGGGGGTGGCTACCAGCAATGTCAATTATCTCCCAAATCTGAGGTCACTCGAAAGGTATTTTAAGAGCCTACGGGACTGAAATTTTGTAACAGCTGTTAAATATGACAAAACTTTTTATTCCCCCAAACTAAAGCTATTCCAAACTCTGTATGAAAGAAATGGGATAAGCAGATGTCTGGCTTCCATACAGGAAAGTAGGACACACTTGGAATGATAAGTCTCCTAAACTCTATAGAATAATGCCAGATTTATTGGGGAGGGGGGTATTTACTACCCACGGAGATGCCAACTAGCAGTAGGACTGTGATGGTACCATCTGGAAACCCGCTGCAGAGCAGGCGCTCGGTGACGCTCTGTGAGCACATCCAGCTCCACCAGCCCTGCCACTGTTCCACGCTCCGTGTTCCGACAGGGACACGCTCCCACCGCCCCGGCCGACCCACCATCAACAGTTGGACCCCCGGCCTTGGGGTGCACCGAGCCCAAGAAGGCAGTGAGAAGTCGAGGGGATGGATCTGAGCAGGAATTTCCAACCCTCCTAATGAAATATAGGATGGTGGCACGGAGGAATTATTTTAGCACAGAGTGTGGTTTTGGTTTAGCAGTTACAGCGGCATCCTGTAATCATTTACAGCCGTTGGAATGTATGGGTGAAATAGGAGAGATTTATCTGTTCATAGTTGTGATATGTAGACAATGGGTGTTCCTAATGAGGAACATCTGCTTTTGTGTTTTCCCAGAAAACATTATTCCACTATGAAAATGATACTCCCATCCTTTTCAGCAACACCGCAAAGAAAATATGGGCCTTTTCCTTTCTTTTATTTGCTTTTCTTTGGGTCAATCTAATTTCCCAGGGACACTTTTTCTGTGGCATCTTTTTACTGACTGCGCTGCAATTTACGGTGGGTTTGTTCTTTAACACGTGAGTTACTGTGCTGGAGGAACGGCCCCGAAATGCCAGAGGATCCTTAAATGTGTACAGTAATAAAAGCCTCCACACTCAGCCATGCTCCGTGAGAAACATCCAGGCGACGTAAATAAAAATTCCCAGTGAATTAAAAGGTCGCGGAGGCTCCCGACACCGAAAACTGCTTCCAGGCCTCAGGTTTTGCTTTTGCATTTTGAGCCCACTGCAGGATTCAAACGTATAATTACACAAGTTTATTTAAAATATCACCACTGCTAACAAATTATTATTCCTGAGGTGCATAAGGGTTTTTTTTTTTTATTTTCCTTCTGTTTGTTTTTTTTTTTATCCCAGCACGATAAACAATTCAGACTATCACGGAGTCTCCTAGTGTGGGCTGGAACAAATGGGTGGCCATAGATCTCAATTCAGGATTGAATTATTGGTTCATATCCTGAGGACAAATATGCCTTATCTGGTCAAAAGCTGCTAAATGTATCCAAAGGACAAAAGGATCTAGTGAAGCATATTGGATATAATTCTTTT